CATATCTTCCCAAACCATTGAAAAATAACACATTCATGAGTAATACACATTTTAATGAAAATGTCTTATCGTCCATATTTATATTCATAACTAAAGTTTCCATACAAAAAAAAATCTTATAGTAATTGTTGAAGGGCAAGACTTAAAATTACAGATAATTAAATGTTACGAGCGAATGCCACATTCACCCCGCCCTTTGCATTTTGGGAGGCATCCAAAGCTTTCCACTTGCACCAGCACATTTTATGAACCAGATAAATATAGAAATTCTTCCTGTTCTCTTTTGCTAATGTAATATTTTTCATATCATTTGACATTTGATTTGTGTGCCAGATTATGGCTCTTTGAGAACTAATGAGCAAATGGAACTTCATTTGTCAATATATCATGAAGAATGCACAGAGTTCCTCCTTCAGGATGGGTGCCTTTATCTTATGATCCAATGTTCTAAAATCACTTCTAAAACTACTAATATTCTCAAATCTTTGACCATAAATCACCAAAAAGCTATGTACTTAAGTGCCTACCCATAATGCAAAGTGCTTGTTATGACCTTTAAAGCCCTAGATGGTTCAGGTCCAGGCTGTTTGGATGACCGCATCTCCTTGTACGAACCTTCCTGGGCCCTGAGATCTTCAGGAGAGGCCCTTCTCTCAGTTCCACCTCCATCTCAAACTTGGTTAGTGGGAATGAGAGAGCAGACCTTCCTTCGAGTGGCTGCCCTATGACTCTGGAACTCCCTGCTCAGGGAAGCCAGATTGGCTCTTCCTTGCTATCCTTCCAGCGGCAGGCTAAAATCTTTTTATTTAGACAGGCTTTTAAAGATGAAGGTTTTTAAGGTCAAATTAGGGGGTGCTGTGGTTTTTAACTTTGAATTTATTTTAATGTTTTTTAACTGGGAATTTTTAATACTGTTTATATTTAATCCTGTTTTAATATTTGTTTATTTCAAATGGTTATGCTGGTGCTTTTATGTTCAGCTGCTTTGAGTCCCCTTTGGGGGAGATAAAAGTGGGGTATAAATAAATACAATAATAATGCCAAGTCCCATAATCCTCAGTTGGCATGACCAGTGGTGTGAGAGGATGGAGCTATAGTCCAATATCTCTGAGGATGCCTGCCATAGATGTAGGTGAAACGGCAGGAGAGAATGCTCCTGGAACATGGCTATACAGCCCGAAAAACTTACAACAACCCAATCTGTGGGATAATCCATTGTTTGCCTCCAAATATTTTTGACCCAAACTCCAACTACTCACATCTTGGACCTAGGTGGTCATAGTCAAGGCACCTGGAAAAAACTTAAGTTGTTGCATCATTGTATATCTAAATCAAGTTCTTAATTGCTGTTGGACTCTCCTAGTCAGATTTTTTAAATCTCATTTAGTAAAGAATATGCATATTATGGTGTGGAACAAGAATTTAATTCAATCTCACAGATGTTCAAAAGGCCACATCCCTTTGGCAATCATGGCCAAATGCAAAAAGAAGAACATGGGACTAAAAATGCCAGAATATTTTAAAACTTAAATCTTGGGCTGAAGAAAACTTCACAAGTATGAGATATTATTAGAATGATGATATAAGAAAAGAACATGGTCAACTGGGAAGTCCAGGTGGCTATATTTGGCTTCAGAGCTTGAAAGTCCCAACTCTGGCTCTACAATTCAGGGATGTTCAAAATGACAGAGGTCATCAGGCAAACTAGTATTTGAAAAAAACCTCAGTGTTTTTACTAGATTAAAATTTTTATGAAGTTGTTAGAAATATGTGTATAATACATTCATTAAAAACTGAAACTCCTGATGAAAGTTCACTTTGAACTGTGTGGGACTGGAGAAGGGCTAGGATTTTAGAGAAAATTGCACTTGGCATTAGATATAAGCAAGGTCCATTCAAGGGTTGCCTTGCTTGAGCTTATTCCCTAAGCTGACAAACTGTCTGAGAGAAAAATATTCTTCCTGTGAGTCATAAGATTTCTCCTGTCTTCTGCTTTGAGCGAGCATTGGTTTGAGTCTGCTGTGCATTTTGATCAACTTCCCAATAGTAAAAACTGTCTGGAAGCAGGCAACTGACTTAGCTTTCCTTGGAAATATTTTTTTTTGTAAGAACTACAAGGTTTACCACTCAGGATGAATTGGGCTTAAACAATCAACAGACAAATTTGACAGATCCACTCATGATGCTTATATCCTGTTTTTAAGTCTCAAAATAATAGATTTTCATCCATTTTAGAAAGCGTTTGTAAAAAGAACTGACAGGGCATTTGGCAATACTCAGAGTTAATTTAGATCCATATTTATTTCAGTTATTAAAATATATACCCATCCTTTTCTGTGGTGGCCCCTCGGCTTTGGAATGCCCTCCCCATAGAGGTGAGATCAGCCCCTTCGTTGATGGTATTTCGAAAAAGGTTGAAGACATGGATGTTTAAACAAGCATTCGATTAATCTGGTGCAACGAAACTGATGAACAAGGATTGGTTAATCACAGACGACGAAATTGGATTGCGACTACAATTAAGAGATGCATTGGATTATTATTGGTGGCCCAATAATATTGTGTATTGTGTATGTGTTTTTATGCTTTTTAATGGAATATTGCTGCTTGTCGTTGTGTTGTAAACCGCGTTGAGTCGCCGATTTAGGCTGAGAAACGGCGGTATATAAGCACAGTAATAAATAAATAAATAAATAAATTTTTGCAATTTTGTTTGCATGTTAGTGCTCAGAATGTTAGTAGAGGAAAGTTCTGAGAGTGCCTTGGACTGCGAGAAGATCCAACCAGTCCATCCTCCAGGAAATAAAGCCCGACTGCTCATTGGAGGGAAGGATACTAGAGACAAAGTTGAAGTACTTTGGACACATCATGAGAAGACAGGAAAGCCTAGAGAAGACAATTATGCTGGGGAAAGTGGAAGGCAAAAGGGAGAGGGGCCTGCCCAAGGGCAAGATGGATGGATGGCATCCTTGAAGTGACTGGACTGACCTTGAGGGAGCTGGGGGTGGTAACGGCCGACAGGGAGCTCTGGCGTGGGCTGGTCCATGAGGTCACGAAGAGTCGGAGACGACTGAACGAATGAACAACAACAAGCTCAGAATTCTAAGACAGAGAGCTCTATTGTCTCGCCAAACTACAGATTCTAGGATTCCATATGATGGTACCTTGATAGTTAAAAGTGAAATCATAGTGATATAATTATACAGTGTGAAAAAGTCCCAGCATCACACCATGCCCTTTCAGCATCACACCATGGTCTGCTACTAATATTCTACTTATGAGCACCCATGACTTTTATCTAGGACTGTGGTTCTTAACCTTTCTTATGCTACAGCCCCTTAATCCAGTTCCTCATGTTGCGGTGACCTCCAACAATAAAATAATTTTCATTGCTACTTCATAACTGTAATTTTGCTACAGTTATGACTCGTAATATAAATATCTGAGATGCAGGATGTATTTTCATTCATTGGACCAAATTTGGCACAAATACCTAATAACATTTGAATACTGGTGTGGTTGGTGGGGGATTGATTTTGTCATTTGAGAGTTGTAGTTGCTAGGATTTATAGTTCACCTAAAATCAAAGAGAATTCTGAACTCCACCAATGATGAAATTGAACCAAACTTGGTACACAGCACTCCCATGACCAACAGAAAAAACTGGAAGGGTTTGGTGGGCATTGACCTTGAGTTTTGGAGTTGTAGTTCACCTACATCTAGAGAGCACTGTGGACTCAAACAATGATAGATCTGGACCAAACTTGGCTCAAATACTCAATATGCCCAATGTGAACACTGGTAAAGTTTGGGGAAAATAGACCTTGACATTTGGGAGTTGTAGCTGCTGGAATTTATAGTTCACCTACAATCAAAGAGCATTCTGAACCCCATCAAACATAGAATTGGGCCAAACTTCCCACACAGAACCCCCATGCCTTGAAGGGACTCACTAACATGAGCCTCCCTTCAGCCTCACACAGTCTCCCTCGCCCACACATGCACACCATGCTGCCATACACTCAGCAATCCTGCTCTCCCCATCGCACTCGTAGTCTCAGAAACAGCCCTCCTCTTTGCTAAGTGTAGGAGGAGGAGGGTTTTTGGTGGGAGGATTTGCCATCTATTTCCAAAAAGAAAGAGAAGGAGAGGCGGAGTGATCTTCAGCCCTCTCTGCCAAAGGGGTTCCTAAGACCATCAGAAAAATATGTTTTCTGATGGTCTTTGGTGACTCCTCTGAAAACCCCTCACAACCCACTCACTGGGGGGAAGGGGTTTCTATCATTGATGAGCTTCACAATGCTCTTTGATTGTAGGTGAACTATAAAAACCAGCAACTACAACTCCCAAATGTCAAGATCTGTTTCCCCAAACTCCACCAGTGTTCACATTTGGGCATATTGAGTATTCGTGCCAAGTTTGGTCCAGATGCATCATTGTTTGAGTCCACAGTGCTCTCTGGATGTATATGAATGACAATTCCAAAACTCAAGGTCAGTGCTCACCAAACCTTTCCAGTATTTTCTGTTGGTCATGGGAGTTCTGTGTGCCAAGTTTGGTTCAATTCCATTGTTGGTTGAGGGCCATCACAACACGAACTGTATGAAATTGTCACAGCATTAGGAAGGTTGAGAACCATTGCTTTAAAGCAACTTTCCAAACTGGATAACTGAACTTTCTTGCATGAATTAATCCAATTAACAAGCTAATGAATGGTAAAGGTATATAGCTTCTGCAGAATTGGCAGAGAGGCCAAGGTCTTGTCTATCAAACAGTTCCATTGAGTATTCATGCTAATGCTCCTTTGGAAATATTATGAAGTTACTTGAAGCACATTGATCAGACTGACAGCTGGGAATTACCAAGAAGCCAAAAAAGTTAAGAATACTGCATGTGTCATGAGTCCTAAAAAGATTTGGGATAGGGCTTTTGGAGGGGGAGGTTCAGGGATTGTTGGCTTGGCGGCTAGCTTCTTAATACAACATTTTATTTCTGAACAGAATGAAGATGGATTAATGGAGTTCTTTGAAACCGTCTTGAAAGCAACAGAAATGAATCCCAGAAAAGTGGTTGGCTGGATTCTGACAGATATGCTTGGGTATTTAAAAAAGCATAATCTTACAATAAAGGAAAGGTAAGGCTTTCAGAAGTCTGTGTTTTTTAAATCAGGAAAACCTCATACCAGCAGTTAGTCTTTCATAATAGTACAGACATTTTAGCACTAGGCCTAACCAAAGATTAGGAATAGGATACATGTGGGTCTAATGTGCAACATAAGCAAAATAATTTGAGCTTGTAGTTTAGTTGTGTTTTAATCTTCACGTTTTTCAAATGTGTTTGTGCATATGTACACAAAAGGTCAGTGTAAATCTCTGCTTCAGTGTCCACATGTGTTTGCATGTCTGTTCAAATGTCAAAGCCTTGGCATCAGTGTTTTTTTTACAGTAACAAAAGGCAAATTGTAGCATAACAGGGAACAAAAGCATGCCTTTGTGCATGGAAAATGTATTCATCCATGTTCTAGCCAACCACAAGTGTATACATGTGTTTGAACAACTCTCAAAATGGATGTATGCTTAGCTTTTTCAAGGAGCAAACAAAAAGGGGTCACAAATTTAGGAGGTTGTTTATAAATGCAAGAATGCTGTAACTGACAGTCTATGAACCTTCCATGGATATTTAGAGACATGAGAAATGAAACTGAAATCTCAGTGGAGAGACGCGCACACACCACTAGCTTTTACACACTGCATCTAAAATATGGTTATCCTCTTCAAGTATATCTGCCTACTTAATTCACTTTTTGTGTCTAGCCCGATCAGTCCTTCTCTTTTGGCTGAACTTCTGAACCTTCTGGGAAGTGGAAGGATTTCTTCTCCAGCAGCCAAACAAGTGAGTATTCTTTTTGAACATAATTTTCCTCTAGCATTTGTTTGTGTCACAAAGCATTTCAGTGTGAACCTGTAAAATGTATTTCTGCTGTAGCTAACGGTACCAAATGAACACAATATGACCCTTTGTTTATCTCCACAAGCCTTCTGTTTGTGTTTGAGTACAAGGAACCTAAACGTTATAGGGATTGCAATAAGCACACTGTTGCAGCTTGGTCCTGTGGGTTTGCTCTGCAAAAAATCTCACTTTGAGCCAGACCCAAGGTTCATTCATAGTTGCTTTTTTTTGGATTACAGCTCTTAGCATCTTGGAAAAAGCAACATTCTATAGCTCTGTCCATTGAGCAATATGTATGAGGCTGCAGTAATAAGTATTCATTACGTCTTGCAATCGTGATTTTGTTTTGGAAATAAGAGCAGGGCTGGATCCTTTTCTCTGGGTTTCCCATCTCCACTTTGTATATCGCCAACCTAGGCTATTTTAAACCCAGAGTGGGGAAAGGGAGTAGCCTTTCTATGTCTTGGGGGGAAAAAAACAGCTGTGGGGTACTTCAATGATGGAAAACCAGAAGACGGGAAGAAGACAAAACATCCTGCTTTTTGGTCTCCCAGAAGAGACTACCATTTCTGTCATAGCTTCAGGTTATATTTTTTATTTCATTTTATTCATATCCTGCCTTTTTTTCTGACATTTCACCCATGACAGCTTACAGCAGGGCTAAAGCAAGATACAGCTTAAAATTTGATGATTTTTAAAAAATCAAACAATATTGAACAAGTTATATTAAAGTGCCATTAATTTTTATAAGTGTAGATGCATTGTTAAAAGCTGAATGAAAAAAGCTGTGGGTAATTCCTATCTCATGGTAGTCTGGGGGTGCTCCTGAACTCATTGTTGACCCTCAAAACCTGGACTACTTCAACGCTCTCTACAGGGGGCTGCCTTTGAAGATAGTTCGGAAGCTGCAACTGGTTCAGAGATCAGCAGCCAGACTACTAACTGGGGTACCATACAGGGAGCGAACAACTCCCATGTTAGGGCAGCATCACTGTTTCTGGGCTAAATACAAAGTGCTAGATATAACCTATAAAGCCCTAAACGGTTTGGGCCTAGACTGTTTGACAAACCAGATCCCTGCCTATAAACCCACCAGGACACCGCAATCATTTATGAGGCCTGAATGAGTTACATGTTTAGCCAAGGTTGTTCAATTATTCTGTTTTTGCACTGTTTATTGTTTGTTTTAATTGCTTTAATTTATTTTGTTTGAATTTGTTTTGTATCTGGCATTGCATTTTGTCTTTTTGGAAACCACCCTGAGTCCCTCTGGTGAGAGAGGGTGGGTTAAAAATAAAGATGATGGTGATGATGATGATGATGATGATTATTATTATTGTTATTGTCATGTAGTTTGAGCCTCAGATCCACAGAAGTGAACTTGTGTACCCAGGGTGCTTAAAATGATGCTAAGGGTTCATTTTCTTTTTTCTGATCTGACTTCAACTTGTGCATCTAACTAAAGTGGAATGTAGTCTAGGATCTGTCTCTTAAGCTAAATAGCAGTCCCTGGAAAATGTCTGTTTAATTTGAATGCTCTGAAAGTAAATACAGAAATAAAATGGAAAATATAGGGCTAGGTTCCTACTCCATGAAAAATAAGAGCAATTCAACACGTTTGAGCAGGAGTCCTCGGTGGTGCAATGGGTTAAACTCTTATGCTGGCAGGACTGCTGAACGAAATATTGGCAGTTCAAATCTGGGGAGTAGAGTGAGCTCCCGTCTGTCAGCTCCACCTTCTCATGCAGGGACATGAGAGAAGCCTCCCACAGAATGTTAAACTGAGCAGTGTCCTTGCAGACAGCCAATTCTCACACACCAGAAACGGCTGGCAGTTTCTCAAGTTGCTCCTGACATGAGAGAAAAAAACACCTTTCAGCAAAGTCTTTGTTCAGAATCAACAATATGATATGTGAAATAAAACAACCTAGTCAGGTGAACTTTACCTCCTTCCTCTTTGCATCCAGAGATGACTTTTTCTTTCACCAGCTTCCACTTTTCTTGTTTTCTATTTTTGACAGCCAAACTTGTAGTTGTCCTTTTAAATTTTGGGGTAATTTATCTGCTCTCCCATTTTCTCTTTCTTTTATACGTTCAACAAGGGATTTTAGATATACCTGGTATTTACTACGGTTGTTGTAGGTAGGGACACAAGCCTACATAGACTTGCAGTGCTGGGGATGAGCAGGATTTGTACTGTAGTCAATCCTGGTGTGGATGCCAGTGTCCTTGGACGAGAAACTTAGTGGTAAAGACCCATTTCTATCAGGGCCTGCTTGATCAGAACACAAGAGAAGGTTGCTTCTGGGCTCTGAAAACCTTGCCTAGAAAGTAGAGCTTGGAAAGGTGACTTTTTTTAACTATGGCTCCCAGAATCTTCCAGCCTGAGGACTACTGGGGGACACAGTCCAAAAGAGTAACTTTTTCAAAACTTTGCAAGGTAGGTCAAGCAAACTCTGTCTAACATAAGTCTTTCAAGCAGAAAGCAAACACGTTTTTATTCAGCCAGATTTTTTGGCTTGTTAGATGACTAGTTTGTTGAAGTAGGTCTCTTAACTGACAGATGCTACTCGTTTCTTTTTTATGGATTCTTTTTAAAGTAATGCATATTTAATTCATTTTATGGCAAGAGATCCTGCGCTGGGAGACAAACGTATCTCATTCAGCTCTCTCTCCATTGCAACAGGTACCAGCAGGACCTCTAGTGGTTCCTAGGACACCCCTGCAGATTACATTGGGTAGCACATCCAGCTAAAGCAAAATAGCTGGGGCATGTCACCTGGATATGTTACTAGCCACTGTGTGGCTTGCAGGTTACGCTGAGGAGGTCTTTGCATTGTTGAATGACTAGAACACAATTTCCAACCCACTCGGTGACCAAGTTATGATGTTGTAAGGCACACTTACAACACTATAACAGGGTGTCAGTTTGAATTATAATTTTGTAGGGTTACTGTGAGTTTTCCAGGCTGTATGGCCATGATCCAGAAGCATTCTCTCCTGACATTTCACCCACATCAATGGTAGGCATCCACAGAGGTTGTGAGGTATATTGAAAACTAGACAAGGGAGGTTTATATATCTGTTGAGGGTCTAGGGTGGGAGGAAGAACTCTTGTCTGTTGGAAGCAAGTGTGAACGTTGTCATTAATCACCTTGATTAACATTGCAAAGCCTTGCAGCTTCAAAGCCTGGCTGATTCCTGCCTGGGGGACTCATTTGTTGAGATCTGTTAGCTGGTCCTCATTGTTTAGTGGACCAGCTAAAACATTCACTCTTATTTTTAAGAGAGGAAACTATGAAGAGATTTCCCGTTTTATTATCTATTTCAAATGAAGTTAGTATTCTCTCTGTGTCTCTTTAAATTAAGATTTTTAACTCATTCAAATTGCAGAGCATTCTCACAAATGCAGATTTATGAATAAGACACCACCTAGCAGTATCATTGTTAGAGCTATCATTGAGTAATCCCATCAACCACAATGCCCTTGCTGTTTTAGAAAAAGGACCTTGGTGGGCTTGATGTCTAAAGAATAACAAATGTTTCTCACAATTCTCAGCAGTAGGCAGGGAGATTGGATGGCCTTAGGGCAGAAATAGCTATATACACGCACGCATGCAACAGTGGATGGATTGTTGCATTTGAGAACAGGGTGATTGAACTGCCGCAGTGAAAGCAGATCCAGCAAGAAATGATGGAAAGATTGGGTGGATTAGGCAAACAGAGGCAGGTGTGCAAAAACGCAGTACAACACAATTGGTTGGAAGGTTGCGGTCATTTTTATTTTTTTAAGTGTCTCTTCATGCTTTGTGTAGATTAGTGAAGCTCAGATGGCTAAAGGTTGTGAGCCTATCAGACGTTATATATGGTTTAGCTTGCGAGCAAGGCTCTTGAAGGAAATAGTCCTGCACATGTTGCACCACGTAATTACAGGCTCTCCAAAACAACCTTTCATCCAAAATTATGGACATTAGCGTTGAGAGCCAATTCAACATATGCTTAATTGTTAACCCCATCACCGATTACCTCATTTTCACCCAAGGGCATGTTTCAGCTGGAGTTGATGGCTTGTTTTCCATGCATAGGAACCAAATGTTGTTATGAATCCTTCCTAGGAAGCCGCATAGACCACTACCTTTTACAAATAAATAGGGAAATGCTTTATATTGGCTAATGGGCCATCTAGTCAAGGGTTATGTTTTGTCAACCCTGATGAATGCAGTGTCTATATTTTTTCTCCAGTTTTATATCTCTAGTGCAGTGTTTCTCAACCTTCCTAATGCTGCGACCGCTTAATACATTTCTTCACGTTGTGGTGACCTCCCCAACCATAAAATTATTTTTGTTGCTATTTCATAATTGTAATTTTGCTACTGTTATGAATTGTAATGTAAATATCTGATCTGCAGGATGTATTTTCATTCACTGGACACAAATACACAATATACCCAAATTTGAATACTGGTGAGGTTGGCAGGGGGGTGGGGTGATTTTGTCATTTGGGAGTTGTTGCTGAGATATATAGTTAATCAAAGAACATTCTGAACTCCACCAATGATGGAATTGAACCAAACTTGGCACACTGAACTCCCATGATCAACAGAAAATACTGGAAGGATTTGGTGGGCATTGACCTTGAGTTTTGGAGTTATAGTTCACCTACATCCAGAGAGCACTGTGTACTCAAGCAAAGATAAATCTCGACCAAACTTGGCACGAATACTCAATATGCCCAAATGTGAACACTGGTGGACTTTGGGGAAAACAGATCTTGACATTTGGGAGTTGTAGTTTCTGGGATTTATAGTTCACCTACAATCAAAGAGTAGATTGTTGTAGGTTTTTTGGGCTGTATGGCTATGTTCTAGAAGCATTCTCTCCTGACGTTTCACCTGCATCTGTGGCAGGCATCTTCAGAGGTTGGTAGACCTCAAACCTCTGAG